GGCTGTTGGGGGGGGGGGTCAGGCCCCGGCCCGTTTTTTTGGGGGGATTTCGGGTGTTTTGGGGCTCGTGGAGCTTCCTGTCTGGCCCCGCCCCCTGGGCGGGTCCCTCTCAAGGGTGGGTGGGGCTGTCCGTGAAGGGGGCGGGGTTCTCCCTGGTGGGCGGACCTCCCTTTAAAGGGGGCGGGGCTTTCAGCTGAGTGTGGCCCCTCGGTCCAAAGGGGCGGGGCTCTCTGTTAAAGGGACAACATCGCCTGCCATTGGGTGCTGTTGAGGGAGTAGGCGGAACCTACTTGGTGGGCAGGGCTTCCCGTTTTAAGGGGCGTGGCTCTTAAGCAGCTCCCATGGCGTAAAGGGGCCCCTTTATGCCATTGGGTGCTGGTGAAGGGGGCGGGGCGTGCTTGGTGGGCGGGGCTGCCCTTTAAAGGGGCAACGACCCAGGATGCGGCAGGCTGGTCAGTGGGACCCATTCAAAAGGGGGTGTGTGTGGGGGGGCCCTCCCGTGGGGGGCAGGGCGTGCCCAGGGGCGGGGCCTCTCCTTAAAGGGGCGCTGCGCTCCGCAGAGCGGGCGCCGGCGGGGCGGGTGCTCAACACGCGGGCCATGAAGGAGATGTACCGCAGCTACGTGGAGATGCTGGTGAGCACCGCGCTCGACCCCGACATGATCCAGGCGCTCGAGGACACCAACGGTGAGCCCCGAGGCGGCCCCCGAGACCCCCCGAGACCCACCCCGGGACCCCCCACTCCCTGGGAAACCCTGGGATCCCCACCCCATTGGGACCACTACCCCACCAGGACCCTGACCCCACCAGGACCCACACCCACCGGGACCTCAGCCACATCGGGACCCCCACTGGGCACCCCCACCTCACCGGGACCCCCTCCGAGACTCCCACCCCACCAGGACCTCCCCCTCCCCCTGGGAACTCTCCTGGGACCCCCACCAGGAACCCCCACACACACTGGGACCCTCACTGGGACCCCCACCCCATCAGGACCCTCCGCCCCGCCACCGGGAACCCCCCGGGACCCTTCCCCCTGGAACCTCCCGGGTTCCCGCCCCCGGGCCCCCCCGGGCCCTCCCGCTAAGCGGTGCCCCCCCAGATGAGCTCTACCTGCCGCCCATGCGCAAGATCGACGGCATCCTCAACGACCACAAGAAGAAGGTCCTCAAGCGGGTGCCGCTCAACCCCTCCCTGCAGGTGGGGCCGGGGGGCGCCCGGGGGGGCGCAGGGTGGGGGGGGTTGCGGGATGGCTCCTGGGGGCCCATAAATGACCTTGGGTGCTGCATGGGTGCCCTGTGCGTGTCTCGATGACGTTGGGTGCCCCGGGTGTCCCCAGGAGGCCGATAAATGAGCCTGGGTGCTGTGGGGGTGACCTTAGATGAGCTTGGGTTCTGTACGTGTCCCCAGGAGCCCCCAGGCACAACCCTGGGTGCAGTGCGGGCATCCTATGGGTGTCTCTAGAAGACATTGGGTGTCCCCGTGAGCCCCATAGACACCCCCGGGTGCCCCTAGGTGACGTGGGGTGCCCCCAGGCTCCCCATAGACACCCCCGGGCGCCCGTAGGTGACATTGAGCGCCCCCAGGAGCCCCATAGACACCCCCGGGTGCCCCTAGGTGACGTTGGGTGCCCCCAGGAGCCCCATAGATACCCCCGGGTGCCCCTAGATGACGTTGGGTGCCCCCAGGAGCCCCATAGACACCCCCGGGCGCCCCTAGATGACGTTGGGCGCCCAGACTCACCTCGGACCCCCCGCCCCGCGGTGGCGCCGCGGGCCGGCGGGTGACGCGGCCGCCCCCCCAGGAGGCCCTGCACACCTTCCCCCAGCTGCACGCGGAGCGCGCCGAGGCGCTCGTCAAGCTGCGCCCCGCCGGCGAGCCCTACAACCGCAAGACCCTCAGCAAGGTCAAGCGCAGCGTGGGCAAGCCGCAGGTAGGGGGGGGCGCGGGGGGGCTGGGGGGGCCCTGGGGAGCCTGGAGGTCTGGGGCGGCTTGGGGGCTTCCTGGGGATCTGGGGGGGCTGCGGGAGGACATGGGGGTCCCCGGGAGGTCCTGGGCGGGGGGTCCTGGAGGTGCTGGGTGCCCCAGGAGGTTCCCACAAGCACAGGAACCTCGGCCAAGAGCCTGGCAAGGCCCGGGGATGGGGGTCCTGGGGGGCCCAGGAGGTCCTGGGGGTCCAGGCTGGAATCCTGGGGGTCCTGGAGGGGTCTGGGAGGTCCTGAGGGTCTTGGGATGTCCCTGGGGGTCCTGGGGTGTCACTGCGGGGGGCTCAGAGCCCCCCGAGGACCTTGAGATGGTTCCCAAGGTGCCCTAAGGGACCTGGAGCTCCTGGGGGCTCCTGAGGCCGCCGGGGGGGTCACGATGCTTGGGGGTGCTGGGGGGGTCCCGGGGGGTTCCGGGGTGCTGGCTGAGCCCCCCCACCCCCCACAGGAGTTCAAGGTGGAGGTGGAGAAGTCCTTCTTCTACACGCTCTACCACTCGCTGCACCACTACAAGTACCACACGTTCCTGCGCTGCAAGGACGAGGTGGGCGCCCGCGGCCCCTCGGGTCCCCTCCTGTCCCCTCGGGTCCCCTCGGGTCCCCTTGGGTCCCCTCGCATCGCCTCATGTCTCCCCTGTCACCAATGTCCCCACCTCCCTGGTGCTGTGTCTCCGCGCTGCCGTGTCCCCATGTCCCTTTGTTCCCGCACTGACGTCTCCCCGTGTCCCGTGTCCCTGTGCTGACGTCTCGCCATGTCCCGTGTTCGTGGTGCTGTGTCCCTGCGCTGACGTGTCCCCATGTCCCCATATCCCCGTGTCCCTGGTGCCGTGTCCCCCCGCTGACATGTCCCCGTGTCCCCATGTCCCCGCATCCCCGCGCTGACGTGTCCCCGTGTCCCCATGTCCCCGCGTCCCCGCGCTGACGTGTCCCCGTGTCCCCATGTCCCCGCGTCCCCGTGCTGATGTGTCCCCGTGTCCCCGCGCTGACGTGTCCCCATGTCCCGTGTCCCCGGTGCGCCGCGCAGACGACGGCCATCGAGGGGCAGGACGAGGACCTGGGCCAGGAGGAGGTGGTGCAGCAGTGCATGCGCAACCAGGCCTGGCTCGAGCGCCTCTTCGACTCCTTCAGCGAGCTGCTCACGCAGGCGCAGAGCCAGTGCGCGTGACGGGGCGCCCTGCGGGGACACCCCCTGCGTGGGGACACCCTGCTGTGGGGACACCCTGCGTGGGGACACCCCCTGCTGTGGGGACACCCCGTGTGAGGACACCCCGTGTGGGGACACCCCTGCGGGGACACCCCCTGTGTGGGAACACCCTGCTGCAGTGGCACCCTGCGGGGACACCCCTTGCCGTGGGGACACCCTGATGGGGACAGTCTGTGGGGACACCCTGACGAGGACACCCTGTTCGGGGACACCCCCTGCTGTGGCACAGCACGGCCACAGGGATATCCTGCCGTGAGGACACTCTGCGTGGGGACACCCCGACTGTGGGGACACCCCGACCGTGGGGACAACCCCTGCTGCAAGGACACGCTGCTCGGGGACACCCCTGCCATGGGGACACCCTGCACGGGGACACCCCGGCCACAAGGACACCCTGTGCCGTGGGGACACCCCGGTCATGGGGACACCCACGGGGACACTCCAGCCACAAGGACACCCGCTGCCATGGGGGCATCCTGCTGCAAGGACACCCCTGCAATGGGGACACAGGGACACCCTGCTTGGGACACCCCAAAGGGATACTCTCCTTGGGGACACTCCCTGCAATGGGGACACCCCACGGGGACACCCTGCTCGGGGACACCCCAGCCACGGGGACGTCCCCCGCTGCTGTCCAGGACAGGGACACCCCCGACGGGGAGGAGCCCTCGGGTGGGGACACCCCGCCCATGGGGACACCCCAGGCATGGGGACATTTCCTGGCGTGAGGGTGTCCCCAAGGACGGGACCTCTTGGGAGGGGGCCACTCTGGGATGGGGACATCCTCCAAGACGAGGACATTGTCCTGGGAAGGGGCACCCCCCATGGGGACACCCCCCCGCGGGGACACCCCCACCCATGGGGACAAGGCCACCCCCTTCTGGGGACAGGCACCCCCTATACATGGGGAGCGCCCCCCCCACCGGAGATGGGGACACAGCCCTGGGGCCACCCCCAGGACCAGCCGTTCCCCCCCACCTGGGACCCCCCCCTTTGGGGACAAGACCCCCAATTTGGGGAAAGGGACCCCCCCACCTTAAAGGAGCCCCCACACCAGGATTGGGACCCCCACCATAGGGTGTCCCCCAGGATCCCAAATTTGGGAGCCTCCCCCGGGCATCAGAGGCAGCGAGGGGCTCCCCCCCCCAAAACAGGGGCCGGTCCATTCCCCCCCGCCCCCCCCTCCCGGAGAACCCTTATTTATATATATGTATAAATGTCTATTAGTAACCTCCGTTCTCCGTCCCCACAG